TCCCTGTGTTTCCTGGTTCACTCTGTGAAGTGGGGCTAATGACGCTGTCCTCCTTTGTAAGCCCTCTGAGCTCTACTACCATAAGACATGAAAAAAAAGCTAGATATGATATTGCTGGCCATTGAATAATCGCCAGTTAAGAGCCGACTGCTGCTCTTTTACATCTCTTTGAGCAGAAGCAACACCATGGGGTTAGTGTCTTCTGACTAGTTTGGCGCTGAAGGGTCAGCTTCATCCATTGTCATGCGCTCTGTCTCAGGGCATATCTGTATCTGCCAAGGTCCTTCCAGGAGCCAGTGATGGTTCAGTCAGTCCATGTTATGCTGCAGAGCTTTGAGTATATACCAGCCTTTGGGAGATGCAGCATCATGCAAACATGCATCTATGATGCTCATAGATCTGAGCAAGTTCCTGCAGTCAGCCGAGGTGTATCTACATTTTGCTCCTCAGTATTTCCAGGCCTGAGTTAACTCCTGCATAGAAGGTGACAGTGTCCCTCAGTCTTTCCAGCTGATTCAAGTTCCTAGAGGCAAAGCTGAACACTAGAAGTTCTTTAATAACTTCCCTTCTCCGTGAATTTAGCTCTTGTACTTCTGGGAGTCTCCCAAAGACAAAGTATCCAACTGCAGGAACTTCCCCAGTAGCAGACATTTGAAATAAAACAAACAGAATTCAGGCACTATCTATTTTTAAACTTCCAAAGATAACAAGGTTGACGTGATTGCTTTGTCTACCTGTTTCTCTTTCTGTCTGACAGATCCCCTTTCCTAGCAGTAATTTATTTGACAAGGGAATAGCAGTCTTGGAGATGAATTTCTGTGACTTCATGAAAATTGATGTTTGGGTAGAGCAGAGAAGGCCAAGTTAGCGTTTCCCCAGGGAAAGGCCGTAAATCTTGTTTTGTGTGGCCAGTTGATCAATGTCAATTGGCCAGCAAGTGAATGAATAACTCAGAATTAGCCCCATCATGTGCTGCCTCCTGCCCAAGTAGTACTGGTAGTTCATGTGGACGGGTCTAGGGGACATGAAGGGGAAGCCAAAGGTATTGCAGAGCATGGTGAAAATTATAATGCAGGTGGCGGAGGGCAGTTGGATTTGTCATGGTGGGTGAATGCAGGGAGGCAAAACACAAGTGTATTGGAAATCAACCTTCTGTTCTGGTGCTTACAGATCTGTTGTTTTTCTGTAGCAATGCAAAGGGTTTGATGAGGAGGCTTCGTGTTCCCCTGATCCCATCTCCCCAAAGGAGTTCAGTGTGGTGTGTGATAACATGTTGCAAGGCCTTGGGCGCTATCTCCGCTGCCTTGGTGTGGATGTCCGGATTCTGGAGAATGAAGATGACCATAGGAAAGCTGCTGAGGTTAGTCGTGTGTGCGCATGTTTGTAAATCCCATCTGCCCTCCTTGGAGAAGGCCTGCTGCTTCACGAGTAACTGCACTGATTAGTTACTCACAGCGAAGGCAACACTGACAGCAGATTGGTGGGACGTACTCAGCACATGCTTCCTCCTGTGCCCTTGCTGATATCCAGTTCTCAGGTTCAGTCCTAGAAACTGTGTGATGTGCCAGGTGGTATTTCCTAGTCCCTACATTAGTGTATGGTTTTGGCATTCCATTTCCAGGAGAAAGAAGGTGAGCAAACCACACTTTGCGCAGAGTGCTGTGATCTCAAATCTTATTTGTGTTTCTCTGTTTCTGTCATCATCAGCTGGGATGTTTTAAGTCAATGAAGAATACAAATGCCATAGGTGTGACCTGCAGTCTCCAGTGTCCTGAGTGGGGTGTTGGTGCACTTAAAACAAAATAACAAAGCCAGAAAAAGGAACCAAAACTCACTTTGGTTTCTAATGGACTCCAGTTTGGGCTTACAGAGAAGTTATTTGCCTGTCTTGTACTTGCGTCAGTCCCGCTGAAGCATAATCAAAAGACAGCTGTGCAGCCTGGAAGGGAAAATTGCCATAATAAATTACCTAGCTGGCTACCACCTTGTGAGATGACTCAAAGGTGATCAGCCACAAATTGCAGTGAAAGGTTTGGGAAAGGAGAAGTCTCTAACATATGTGGGGACAACTGACACTGATCTGGACTCCAATAACCACTTTGACTTTCTGCATCTCGGAGGAGAGAGACACATGCTTCTTCATTTCAGACGTATTTTTGCTACGCCAGAATGGAGATATCCAGCCCACACAGTGTGTTGCTATCAAGTGTGCACTGATCACCCAGCCTGGTGCACAGGATGTTTCCTCTTCAGATGTCTGCTTGGCCTGAATCCTGGGCAGGCTCTAACTTCTGCAAAAGTAATTAATATCTCATCTCTGCCAAACTTGCACAAGTCATTTAAACAAACTAGCTCTCACTGCCTCCCCCCAGAGCCCTGTCTCCTCTTCTCATCCTGATACCTTATCGTGCTATGAACAGGATGTTTTACATTGCTTTCTCTATGGTGACTGGACAAACATCCTTTCACTATCAAAAACCCTTGGATTGTTACTGTATTGGAGAGCCTTTGATCTGTGCTTGGATAATTAAAGATAAAAATGGACTCCTCCCACCCTGCTTTATATCTGACAATCCTGATTTAATAAAAGTTGGATGTTAACCACTGTACACCGGAAAACCAGTAAATGCTTTTGCAGAGGCCAGGAGAAAGGTATGAATCCTGGTCACCAAACACAAGATAGGCAGTTCTGGTGTTGTCCCAAAACAATCTCAAACTAACGTCACCTCACTGGGAACATATATGTGTGTGCAGAGTTAGTGTTTGTTCTTCATTACTGTAATTTCGCTAAAATGATTTATCAGTGATATGACATGTCTCTCTGTGCCAAGAACTGCTGAATAGCCTGGCATTTGTTCCTTGTTGTTCTCATTATTGGCAGTTGTTAAAGTGACTTCAGGTACTGGAAGGCAGATGGATCATGTCATTCACCTTGTACTGTCTGAGATATGACTTAAAAGCCTGAGAGCCGTGTAAGTTGTGCTTGCACAGCCATGGATTTTCTTTTTCCTGTGTTTTCTTCAACTAATGTGTGTGGCAGTAATAAGAGTAATGCTCATGCATTGATTTGAGAAATCCCATTCCCAGGCTAAACTTGAAATCTGTCCTATGTACTGCTTCATGTTGTGCTGCCGGCATTGGCCACATATCTTGTCTTGGATGACATGTGTCATGGCAAATTTATCATGCCAGCTCAGCAACTTCAGATGCGCTGTCCTGTGAGAGAAGGACTTAGTCAACATGCCCTGACACCATGAGCCAGTGTGTTCCACTTGTTTGCCCACCTTTAGCTGCTGTGAAAAAAACACCAGCTCATGCTCGGAATGTTTACTGGTGCCATTTAAATTAGCTCTTGATTGGAAAAGCAACAAATTAAAACTCCTCTATCATAAGAGCAGAGAGAGAAAATTTTTAAAAATGGGGAAACATTACAACTTTTTACCAAAGCTTTCTTTCTCTGGTTAAATCTGTTCTCATGATGAAAGGAGCTCACAGCCTGTTCTTACACAAGCATTTTAGACTTTTCTTCATGAGCACGAACCTTTCTGGGAAGAGCAGCTTTATGTCCCAGTGTAGGCACCATGCCATTTTCCAAGTCTTTTGGGTGGCAGTAGTATTTGTAGCATGTATTACATTTATGTTGTAGCTGCTGTAGTGCAGTGCACAGAGTTGTTTGGCTAAGCAGGGAGGCTAAATGCTTGCCCCAGATGTTCTGGACAAGCTCCTTTACCTGAATTAGAGCAGCCTGTGAACTGAGAGGCAAGGGGGTTTTTTGCCATGTGCTTTCCCTGAAATGTGTTGCCTTGTCTGGCGCTGCTACCTCAATCCTGCACACTGGGTAGAAGGCCCTTCAGGAGTGCTTTTGCTAATGGCCCAGCTTGAAGCCTCCCTCCCAAAGTCTGGCTCCCTTCTGTTTGGCAAAATAGGGCATCCTCTCTTGAGAAGGGCTACGTGTGTCCAGCTGTTCTTCACCAGGGGCTTCTGACTCCATCCCAAATTTGGTTATTTCTGCATGCACTCATTCCCCCCGGGCTTCTGTTATCCTCTCAGTGAAGAATGTGGAGACGGAGACTCTCTCATGCAACATCCTTCTATGTTTGTAGCTGCCATTAAACTTGGCCCTGTTGGGGGAAGCCACCCTTTACATTTGCAGATATTCCTATAAGGAACAAATGTTATATCTATTTAAATATTTTTTTTCTTTACTTTAATCATGTTATTTGCCTGTCGTGTTTCCGGTCACATCTACCAACTTGTCTTCTGCAAATTGCTCTTTGCAGAGAATCTTAAACCTGTCTTGCATATGTTCTAGGTGGGTAACTGGGCCATGAAAAGGAAGTAGGAAAATTTCAATGAGTGTGCCTCTTCTCTCTGCAATTTTGCAGAATGAGGTGAAGAAATTGGATGTTTCTGTCATACTAATCTCAAAGGATCACCCACCACAGTGAGATGACTACAATAGATGTTAGTGTTGCACTTGAGTAGTGCAGGAGCTCATAAGAAATTTTTCTTGGTTTCTTACATAACTAGTTTCTAAGAGAAGGCTTGATGGAGTCTCATAGCCCCTTCAGTTGAATTGTGTTGTTTTTAAAATTTCTTTTTAAATGGTGTGTGCTCTTCAACTTCAATACCCTCATCATCTATAAGAATAATCTTCATGCTAAGGCAAACTTAGCATCTTTTGAAGTGTGATAGCATCCAGAAGGCTGGTAGAACTGGCTTCCTGTAGCTCTCATGGGGTAGAAGGTTCCCTTGTAAGGTTACATCTACTCCCCCAAAACTCCAGGTCAACCAGCAAGTCGGAGAGGAGGACCAGGTTTAGATGGATCTCAGGAGCTGAGGGGACTTCTGATACTATAGTGAGCAGAGCTTCACGTGATGGGAGAATCTGATCTGCTATCTCATCTCTGCTTTGAATGTCTTTTTCCGTGGTTTTGATGTAAAACACATTCTTCAAGTTTGCCAGTCTCTTTACCTCCCCGCCAGTCTGCAAAGTAAATGTAGAGGGGACAGACAGAGAACTGAAAATCTATCTTTAAGACTTAGCTTTTTATGTTTAGTCAGCAGAAAGGGATATTTTTCTTTGGAGATCTTGGTACAAATAGGTCTACATTAAGAAACAATATTAGTTACAGTGGTTTTGTTTTGGTACTTAAGGTCGTGTTACCAAATCATGCCATGACTTTGTGCAATTTATGATTTTCACGAATGCTGAAGAGATGTCTAGTTTTAAAATACCACCAGTACAGCAAATACACAACGAGACTGAACTAAGTGCATCTGTAGTTGATTAAAGCTGCCAGTTATTACTGGCTAGGGCATGGTACTTTAACAGAACCTGAAACAATAGGTAGGGAGTTTCAAGGTTGGACTGAGGCTTATGATCTGCTTTCCTAGTAGATCCTACCTGGGTACTTTGCCAGTGCACGGCCCGGAGCAGATGCTCTCTGTCCATTTTCTTTTTGCTTAAGTGGGCCCTTGCTGGCCCTCGCTCAGGACCACTCTTTAACCTCTGCCTTACAAGGGGGTTGCACCTTTCCTAGACAACTACCTTGCAAAACGCGTGCTGCAGTTTGCTTCTTCAAGGACATGTAATGTTGCCTGGCGCACATCAAGCAAGGCCTTGGCAGCTACGCAGCTCTGTGTTGCTGTTTCTTGAAACTGTCTTTGGACTCAAATCAGTATTCTTTAGGTTGTGAGGAGTCGTGCTGCTGGAGCTTGCTTTAAAGCATAGGTTCTCTCTCTTTTCTTCCCTCTTCAGTTGTTGCCCTTCCAGGTCTCTCTTGTCCGTGAATCACTTGTGTTCATTCATCTCTGCAAGATTAAAGTTAGCTGAACGTACAGGCTTCTTAAGGGCTAAATAGCAATCACAAGTTCTTAGGTAGCACTTTTTATCCAGAAGATCTAAGCCATTTCCAGAGGAAGTTGATATAATCTTTTTAATAGATTGTGAAACTGAGGCCTGTGACCTCTCTACAGTGCTTGGGACAGAGCACAAGTCCCTGACTCCCACCCCAGCAAGCTACACGAGTCATTTCTTTCTTTTTATCTGCATTTCCAATCAGTGTCTCCCAGTTGGTCCGGAAGCTGCACTCAGTTACCTCTTTCAAAGGAAGAGAAATAATTGTGCTCTTTTCTCCAGCATATGTCCTCCGTAGGTTTCAGTCAGATATGTGCTACCACATGGCTTTTCTGGCTTTGCCTGCTTCTCCTAGTCATTGTTCTGGAGGTGGAAAAACATGCTGGAAGAGTTACTGCTTTTCCCCTTTTTATTTGATGTTCCTTGCTTGTCTCTGCAGAGCCGTTTAGATAAGGGGATTTATCAAGCTTGAACGAATTAACTCTGGATGCAGGAAGTCAGAATTGAGTGCTCCAGCTGTGAAATCCTCAGACTTACCCTGAAACACACATGGGTCTGAAGGACTTTCCGAAATCTTTTTTCCCTTGCTGGCTTCCCTCACAGTGGTGAAGTTTAGCTGATACCTTGCTGGACTTCTGTTGCGGATGTGCCATGAGGTTTGTTTGTTGGCCAGTTGCATGCAGGGCTGTTCAGTAATCGTAACTGCATAGTAGGATTGCATTGAGCAAGAGATGTCTCAGCTGCCACTTCAGGTTTCCAGTTCCTTGAGATTTTTTGCTTTACTCAGAAAGGAAGTTGTTTTTGAGAGAAATCCAGTAATTTTGGCTACAGAAAGGCGCTTTAGAGGTTGTTATCAATTGCTATCTCAATGCAGAATTGGCACTCAGACCAGTGACTTCTCAAAAGAAAGGAGGAAAAAGGCTTCCTGGAAGCTCAAGTTAGGAAGAAAATGATTGTCGAATTGACTGAAAGGGTAGTTTGTGCCTTCAGTGCCTTCTCCCTCTCATTATATGTCTCCATAGGTCGAATGGATCTTGAAAGATTAGATATCCAGGAGAGAGTTTAAGAAAACTCAGTTTGTTTTCTAAAGCTTGATGTACCCTGGCTATGCTTGGTGTTGTCAAAGCTGTCTGGGAAGTGCAGCAAGACTCTGATTGCCAGATGTATCCTCCTACCAGGGTTAAAGAGTGAACCAGTGAAAGCTTCTGAAATTCTGAACCAGAAGAGAGACCGCCGTAACATGCATCTGGAAATAGTGAAAAATACCAGGACTTCCAACAGAATCCAAGCCAGAGAAGAAAAATAACCTCATGCCTACCTCGAAGTACCAATTGCTTGTCAGCACCAGCAGAGCAAAAGTGTTGGTTCACGTGGGAATCCTTCCTTCACTGTGGCCCTGAAATTATTCTCCTGCTAGAGGGGGAGGGGTGAAGAAGTGGGAGGGAGAGATGTCATTTAATCATATGAAGATCAGTTACACTTTCATCTTTGTGAAGAATTGCACTTCCAGATTTAATATCTTCTTTTGGCCCCAAACCGTTCAAAAATGTCTCTTACTCTGTTGCGAAGGTCAGAAGCATGGGTAATGAGTCCCATGATAATGCTTTGCAGACTTTCCCTTTGAAGAAGACCTCTGCTAAAAGCAAGGATTGCAAGTCAGGAGGTGATAAACTCTGATGGAGACTTTTCTTTGTAGCCTTCCTTATCTTTAAGGGGTGGAGTGAGCATCATTTTCTTAATGTCTGTGAAGCTTGCAGACACATTTAATGGTACATTTCTTTACTGAAATTACCTGCTTAAGGTATTTTTCCTTTCTCCCCTGTGTATTGCTGAGCGAGCAGGACTGCTTGCACTAAAAAGGTTTTTTGATAGGATTTTTTCAAGGTGGATCAGTTTCTTGGTCCATCTGCAGTGCAGATGCACAAGTAGTTGTTGCAGCACAGGTGTAGTGAGAGAGCAATACCTTAAGCTGCTATTGTTGTCAAAAACATACTGTTGAACTAGGCCCCGACACTATGGGCCTAGTGTATGTCAGTACTGTAGAGAAGGACTCCATGTTACCAGTTCATGTTCTCTTTGTTTTGACTGGAAGGAAAGCTTGAATCCACTGGCAACTTCAGCCTGTGTTAATTAACAATTTTTACTGTTTTTTCCCAGATTGCCCGACAGGAAGGAAGAGTCATTTTAACCTCTGGACTCCCATATCAGACTGTAAGTGCTTAGAGCTTCTGGCATTTCTCTGGCATTGTCATTGCATGGTCTGGGATGTGCAGTGCAGAGAAGAGGAAAAGCCAAATATGAAAGAACAGCTGGCTTGGTTTTTTTGTCTGTTTTCTGCACTGAGAACTACGAAAAGGGTCTTGTGAGATTTGTTGTCGTTCTGAACGGCCAAAGATTGGATCGAAGTTTCTTTTATACTTGATACTTCATCGGTGGGGAGAGCAATTGACCTCCGTGTCAAAAAAATCAAGCCAAAGTGTTTCTGTATAGCTTTACTGACAAGTGAAATGCAACTCACTTCCCATGCATTTTAGCACGAAGATTCTTGTTTGCTGATTCGCTCCGTACTGACTCGATACTTAAAGACTTTTCTTCGGGCTCAGAAGAGAGACAGCTGAAGCCACTAAGCATGTGTCCAAGTGGAGGCTTGAGTTGCTCTACAGACACACAAAAAACAAAGCAAAACCCAACCATGCCTCATCACCAGACATTCAGAGCCCTTCATGAAACATACTGCAAAGCAGAATGTTGATGGGAATATCCTGAACCTGTCAAGTCAATGGCTGCAGTGTCATGATGCCTGCTGCAAAGTTCTGTGCCTTCTGCTATTGCCCAAAAATTCATCTGGAGAAGTGAAATTATTCAGGATTACATGTAAGAGCCAGGGTGCAGGACTTCATTTCAGACTATAGATATAAAAGATCCCAACTGTTCAAATGGTTAGGTGGAGCATTTGCTGAAGTTACGTGGGTAATTTCCTAGTTTATAGCTGAACGTTCAAGAAAACTATCCCCATGATGAGATACTATGAGGCAAGTGCAGCCATGCCATGTTACAGATTCCTTATCCAGACTGTGGTTGCTAGTATCTGCAGTTGATGCTGTTAAGTATTTCAGAGTCCAGCGTAATCTTACTTGGCAAAGCTGTGACTCCAAAGCACTGTGTAGAAATTGCGAAACGAAAATAATTGCTTCCCAGTGTACAATATTGTCCTGGGAAATGTCTGGTTCCCTTTGTTCCCTTGCCTTTGTATGCCTTACATGCGGACAGAATGGCTCTGCCAGGCTCTTTTACTTGCATTTAGCTGATCCCAGCTTACTTGCAGTTTTTATTACATTCATAGAGATGTGTCTGGACACTTCCCAGTGCTCAGTCCCAGATACAGACTTTTGTGCTAAATGTGGAACAAACATTGAGGGAGTGTCCACATCAGCCACTTCAAATTCGTTGGCCATCTATGAACTCCAGGTAAAGAAGTGTATGAACTAGAAGGGGTGAAGTGGTAAAACTGTCATTAGATACTATCTCCTTGATTATGCTTCTGCAAATAGTGTGTGATCTGGCCAGGTTTCATGTGAAAGCTGTGATTAAATTCAGTTTCCTCCTGCTATCCCTGTCAGCACCGTACCATTGAATAATAAGTTAAAAGGAACTTAGGCTGTCGTGTATGATATATTGAACACTATACTGCTTCAGTAGTCTCAAAGCTATTTGCAACAGTGGCGAAGTATTAAATTACCTATTGTGCTTGTTAGATCAAAATTTAGACTGTAAACACGTATTAACTCCAAATGTTACTTGTTGTTAAAATCAAATCAAGTGTATTAGGAAAAAAAAGACAACAGATCATTATGCATGGAGTGCCTCATTTGTTATCTTTTGGTTTATGATTTGTCTTTTGAAGCTGCAGTCCCAGGTGGGAGAAGGAAGGTGTTTCTCCGTGAACTGCTCAGAAAAGGCAAAAGAACAGGCCCTGCAGGTTCTGAAGCACTTCAATGTTCAAGTAACCTTGGCGGATATCTTCAGTCGCTGCCAGGTAGGACTAGCCTTTTCTGAATTAAAGCCAGTGTTCACTAGCTGTTCCATGCACAACAGACACCATTTCAGCTTTTTGGGTTTTGCATTCAGTGGCTTGCTCTTGGTTAGCAAGATTTCTGCTTGGACTTTGGCAATGTCTTACAAAGCTGTGAGGGGTTTTGGAGTGTGCTTATATCTTTCATAACTGTTGATGACTAAAGTCAAACAGCAGAGGCACTGCATGTGCAGCTTGCTAGAAGCTTGGTTTTCAGATTTTTGGTACTTGGCATGTTTTTTGGCATTGACTCTCATGGTTATATTCTTTTTGTTCCCGCATCCTCTGTCTAGGACACATGCTGTTTTAATTGTAAACCAAGTTTAATTACAGTTTTGTGATTCTGATAACACTTAATTATTTTAATAGGGGGATTTTTTTAGGGCCTTATATTTTTTAAGGAGCTATTTGGTTAATTCATGTCCATGCTAGCTGACGATCCAAACTGTGTTTGGCATTGGATTTCTGTGGATTGTTTTTTAAGAAGAAATCTTGATTGTGTTAGCTCAAATCTTCTCCATCTCTTCCAGTTTCACTGTTGTACGTGTTAACAGTAACACGCTGAAACTTATCCCTTCAAAAGCTGTAATATAAACCAACTTCAACATCTCTCATCTTATCAGTGTTTAAAGAAAGAAAAAGAAGAAACTGCAAATCTAGCTTGAAAAGGAGCTTTCTGTTATGACTAAACATGCAAGCCAAGTACTTCAGTAAAGTCTGGCTCAGTGCCTTTTGGTAGACAGCTAACAGGATCTCCTAGCTTGGTGGAACTGTACAAATGTTGTAGGAATGACTATTGAGCAAACACAACAGTATGTTTTTATATGTTTTCATCATGTATCTGATGTTAGAAGTTGATGAAACCATGTCTGTAACTTGTACAGAAAATGAGAGTTGTCCAGCTGTTCAGGTTGTCTATAGGATAAGAATGACGTAACACCACGCAGATGGAGTAGACATAATATGGGTTGATCTGTTGATCTTCAGGATGAGTGTGTATACTCAAATACAAGATAGCACATTCAGTCTTGTGGTTTCAGTGGCACGTAGTGACACACTGGCTTCTTTGCTATATATAAAAAAAAAAATCTTGTAACAAACCTGGTGTATTTTCCAGTTCCCTGAGATTCCATCAAATGGTAGTGTTCTTCTCCACAGTTGTTTGAGAAGCTGAGAGAATAAGCGCATGCAAAAAAAAAAAAACACCAAAGAAAACTGTGTAATATCCATAATAAATGCAGAAGACAGTGCAGCATGGAACATAAAAGTGACTCTTTGATCATGATCTGGAGTGTGAAACTGCTTAACTATACGGCTTTTTAGTATATGCTGTCTTAGATTACAGTATAAATAGGGATAATCAATCTGGCTAGGAATATATACTAAGTGTTCTCTTACTTCCAGGAGAAATAGCTTCCCTGTAAATTGTGGTGGTAGAAGAGCAGCACATTTTACACTGCTACACATGGGAAGATGCTATTATTTGCCAAACTGTTCTGTGTTCTGAATCATGTATTTACCTACATTTAAGGCTTTGGCATTTTGGAGCTAGTTTTGTTCAACTGTCCTCTACAGATTGCACCACAAGTTTCATTGATACAATGCTGCTGTTCTCAAGGAGAATCCCAAGCTTTCTGCAGCTGTATATTCCTAGCAGGCACCCAGCTGGTGGCACAGGAGCACTCTGCACCTGCAGTTCTCAGGAAATTTATGTGTGAGGAGGGGAGTTGTGATCGGTAGATTGAAAAGGATCATAGTGCATAACTGTAGAGAGTATTGACTGCCCACATACAAAATGGCAAATTTCTCCTTTTAAAAGGATGCTCTGGGACCCCTGCAGCCAGCATAGACACTTCAGCACTTCATTTGCAAGTTCTTTCCAAAACATCCTAATTCTCTGCCAACCTAGTGAAGCTGATTGGGCTTAATCAGGATGGAAGACTAGATCCTTCAATTGCCGAGCTGGTCCCTTCGTGCTGCCTCTTCTGGTCTTTGCAGACTCGTTTGAGGTCTGCCAGCTCCTTGCAGAAACCTTTATTGCTAATGGGCAACCAAGGATTTAGTCTGTCCCTGTGGCATGGGAATTCTGATTGCATGGCTGAGCTTCCGGAAACATGTAGGTGCTCAGCAGAATGGGGGGTCTGGGCAGTAATAATTTGTAAGCTCAGCCTTCCTTGCCTTCATGGAGCTTGGCTGAAGAGGCTGAACTGCAGCCCCATCGGCAAAGGACGGCTCCGTTCCGCTGCCGGAGCACTGGCGACTCGTTATCAGCTGTGATCATCCATTGTAGATAAGCATTTTCTGTGTGTCATAGGAAGCAATGTGGCATCCTGCCTGACTCACTCTGTCTCATGGAGCAAGGGCTTGTTTTGTCTCTTGGGCTTCTATTCTGTAAATGACTTGAGTGACTATGTCAGCAAATGTTGTTGCTGTAACAATCAATGCGTGTAACACAGAACACATGGTAAAAATAGGTCTCAGTTCAATGTTGGACCCAAGACTGCTGTAAAATTTGTTTCCTTTGTCAGCTCCCTCAGCAGGGATAGACGGCTTCTCTTTTGCAGATGCAGAGAAGGCTTTGTAAACCTGCCAAAATATTGTACCTTTTTTCTGTTCAAACAATGGCAAATACTGGCTACCTCCATCTGACTTTTCACAGTGAATGCAAAGAGAACATCACCTGTGTGCTCCTTGTCCTAACTTCCTCTTTCATGTGTACCGGGCTTCTGCTTGATTGTTTTTGCGCTGTGCTGTGTTTGGGGGTTGACCTGCTGGAAAGTAGCTCTGCCGAGAAGGACCTGGGAGTGCTGGTGGACAACAAGTTGAGTATGAGCCAGCAGTGTGCCCTTGTGGCCAAGAAGGCCAATGGTCTCCTGGGGTGCATTAGGCAGAGTGTTGCCAGCAGGTCGAGGGAGGTGATCCTGCCCCTCTCCTCAGCCCTGGGGAGGCCTCCCCTGGAGGACTGTGTCCAGTTCTGGGCTCCCCAGTACAAGAGAGACATGGCACTCCTGGAGAGAGTCCAGCGGAGGGCTACCAAGATGATTAGAGGGCTGGAGCACCTCTCCTCTGAAGAAAGACTGCAAGAGCTGGGCCTGTTGAGCCTGGAGAAGAGAAGATTGAGAGGGGATCTGATCAATGTGTACAAGTATCTGAAGGGGGAGTGTTGAGAGGATGAGGCCAGTCTCTTCTCTGTGGTGCCCAGCAACAGGACTAGAGGCAACGGGCACAAACTGAAACACAGGAAATTCCATCTGAACATGAGGAAAAAACTTCTTCCCTGTGAGGGTGACAGAACACTGGGACAGGTTGCCCAAAGAGGTAGTGGAGTCTCCTTCCCTGGAGATATTCAAAACCCGCCTGGATGTGATCCTGGGCAATGTGCTCTAGAGGTCCCTGCTTGAGCAGGGAGGTTGGACTGGATGATCTCCAGAGGTCCCTTCCAACCTAAACGATTCTGTGATTCTGTGCTGTGGCGCTGGAGGCTGCTGTCAGTTATGGCCTTCCAGATGGGACCATTGTATGTGTTTCTCAAGTGCTGCATCTTAAGGACTCTCTGATCATCATGGAGAAGCCACCTGTGCATAGCATGTTTAGCTAGGCCTGGCATTGCCTTCAGTGAGCAATGGTTTAAGGGGCCTGAATGGCAAAAACACAAATTCTGTCTTTCAGTGACATGCAAAGAACCCCCAGGAAGTTATGTGCTTCCTAGCCTTAAAATCTTTGAAATAAACCCATTTCCTCTATCTCTTTGAAATGCAAATGTCTTTTGTCTGTCACCTCTTCACACATCTGAATATCTTGTACAGCTTTTTTCTTCCCAGATATCCCCAAATAGCTCCTTCAGAAATGGGCGGATGTGGCAAGCATGTTGGAGATGGTTCTTACATGATAAATTCAGCACATTGGTCTCTGATACTAGTCAGGAAGATCTTTGTGAAGTCATCAGGCGCTATAGTAAGCCAGGTAGCTTGAGTGGAAGGCAGGCCCTCTTGTCCTGCTAACTTAGAGGAAGTTCTAACACAGAACTTGGATTAAAAAGAAAACCTTATTAAAGACAGTGTCTTACCAGACTGCTACAGTTTCAGATACAAACGTCTGACAAGTAGGTCATTCTAAATGGAGTTTAATGTTTGGCTGTTCTCACAGCTCTGTAAATTCAGTGATAAGATTGTCTCCCCACCCTACTGTGATGCGGCACCCACCTGCACCCAAATCACAGGGCACATGTGGTGGCTTTAGCTAGGCTATGCACTCTAGCAGGGCAGCAAAGGAACAGGAACTCAATTCTAGCCTAGTAAATAAGCTCTTGAAAATGAACTTTTATTGGAAAATGTTGCCCACATGACTGACTTGGCCTTTTCCATCTCTTGTTTCTGTACTGTCTTTGAACACTGAACATTTGACAGAACTTTGAAGTTTCATCTGAATAGGAGAGAAGCAGATGTAGATAACCATCTATTTACTGACCTTATAGTCTGGCTAATACATCTTCATTTCTTGCTCTCTTTCTCAGTGAGCCTGAGGTATTGAGGACTTTCCCTTCCTTTGTCCTAGTATGATATCTGGCCTAGTCAGGTTCTTGTCAGTGCAAAACCACTTGTGTCAAGGGAAATAATTCACGAAGGGGAATGGAAGCCCTTGGTTGTGAGTAATGCCGCTTTGAGCAATATTGTCAGGGTGAAATTGCAGTTTGAATGGTGATAAACTGATGAGATAAACAGTGCAAGTTGTTAGCTCTAAATCTTTGTATAGCAAGTGTTTGTCACGATGGTTTGAAGGGAAAACAGTATATTCTGTGTTGTAGAAGATAGCCAATAAATTATTCTTGTTATGTAAGAACTTAGTCATTAAAAGTTTTTAATTCTGCTGTAAAATTCTTGCTGGTTTGAGACTCTGCAGACGGATTTGGAGCCAGGAGGACCTGTCCATCTTTAGAAAAACTGAGTTCTGTTCTGCTTGAAACA